GAACTTTCTTGGCTTCCTCAGCATGAATGGCAGATTGTTGCTGCATGATATCATCATCTGCGAAATTTCCCCAGTCATCAACTTCAGAAATGGAAATGGATACAGCAGACTCCTTTTCCCCATCAGCTACCACTCCATCTTGATTTCGCATCTTTCCTTCACACAAATTCAAGTACGTTCAGGTTTATCAATAACCCCTGCCTCCTAGCGTGAATTTGATATCTGCACTTCCTCAGAGAAAAGTGAAAAACATGCATCAGAAAAACGAAGAAATTTCCCGAACAAACAAAAGGTTATGGCCTCCACATAGTGAAAACTACACCACATTAAAGTACTATGCATCTTCATATCATATCATGAACCAAACCAATCAAATAGAAGATCCCAGGCCCCATGCGTTTCTTATATTACGATTTTACGATTCTACAATGAAGCAAAGGAGTCGGAAAAGTCCATATAAACTGGTTTCATGTACTTGTTTGCAGAGTTCTCACCAGTGTAAATTATAAGCAGTCAAGAGTTTATAACAAGTCATTATGAAAATAACAAACGTAGCGGTGAACAACTATACAATTTAGACATCCATGCATGATGAATCGAAGTTATTTAAATTACCGTGAAAATTTACAGAATCTATATCAGCGTGATTCTTATTTTTCCACTTTCCATACCATTAAAATATTTTTCTTGGAATAAGCATTAAGCAGCAAGCTTTTGCTAAACAAATTCAATACGAACCACTATTCTGAATCTGAAGTAAAAATCGTAACAAAAAGGAACCCATTTCAATCATTAAACGAATAGAAGAACAAGAACAAGTAGGAGTGTGTAAAAAAAAGCTGAGCTTACAAAAAGATGAAATTCAATTGTGTTGCTCAATTTATGAGAAAAACTGGATAAAATGATAGATGAAAGAATGTTAATAACACTTCTTTCCACGTCCATAAATTGGTAATTTAATAATATGACCATGTTGTTTCACTCTTTAAGAAAAAAAAAATGAAATACAAAAACAATATCAATGAAAATATGTCTTTTAGAAAATTACACTAAAAAATATAGTAACAAAGAATTGATAGGGATTATCATTTTACTCGATCCTGATGAGTTTTGACAGGTTTTAATCAAGTCAAGATGGTTTTGAGAAGAATGAGTTTTTTTTTTTTTATTAATCTGGGATAAATATAATGTAGTATATGTTCAAAGATAACTCTCAACTATTTGACATTAAACGTTCACACTCCTAGCATTCCTAAAGCTTGAACCCGAGATCTCAAGGAATTACAACAATTCCCAAAAAGAATATTCAACTTAGCCACTAAATCTTGATTTTAATCAACTTAATCCTCTAAAGGTCAAATCTAAACTCAATTAGGTCCAAACAGCTTGCATTTCATTCAATTGAGCCTCAAATCCAATTTTTTCAATATCAAGAATTCGATTTATTTAGGAAATTTTTTTAGGTTAAACTATACCAGAGACCACTCAACAACAGCCATTTTTCATTTCGATCACCATTTTTTGAATTCTTGTCAATCAGACCACATATGTCATTACCTTATTTTAAATATTATATTAATTTTATTTTAAAATTTATTTTTATATAAACAAATTTTAATTTTTTTAACATAATAAATAATATTTATATATTATATATATATAATTATTAAATAAACCTTAAATTATTAACTATATTAAAAAATTATTTGATGATTATATAAAGGATTGTATAAAAGTTAAAATATAGTTTAAAAATATAAAAACCTAAAATTTACTTTAAAAAAAATATATGTTAATTTCTTAGTTTTCTCTACCATTGTTCATAACATATTATATATAAAACAATGTAATCCAAAATTGATTGAGGGACTTAGGCCAGCGGTTTGGGCGTGCTTTGAAAATTGTGGGGGTTGGAGGTTTAATTTTTTTTTTTGGATAATTTTAATTTTTATTATCTAAGATGTAGAATTCTGCTACATAAAATCTCCCATCAATGGGATAAAAGACGACCTACTACAACAAAAGTGGGTGGTCAACACCCCAACTATTACAAAGGTAAATATTGAGACTATCTAATCTATTTATATTATTTCCTCTTAATTGATTACCTACAATCTCCTTAATTGAACTCAGAATTTCTTTCTCACTTCTTGTGCTTCCTCGGTACAATCTTCTATTTCTTTCCTCCATAAGGAGTAGATTAAAGCGCACAAAGCAAGTTTCAAGATAGTAGTGAGGAGAGACTTACCTTTCCAAGCACCACTGGCCCAATCTAACATGCTCACCCATGGTAATGAAGGAGTGCTTAAGCGGAAGAGATTCAGAATAGCCTTCCATAAGGAAACTGCCAGAGAGCACTCGCTAAACAAGTGGTCCCTATTCTCCGTAGCCTCATTGCAAATTATATATGAACCATCGTTTATAATTCCCAATCTTAGGAGCCTCTCTCTAGTTGGGACTTTATTTAGAACAGTCATCCATGCAATCATGCTATGTTTGGGAACGTGTAGAGGAAACCATATCAATTTGTGCCATGCGACTTTATTTCCTTTTACCCGTATTTACTTCCATAAATCTTTTGCCGTCGTAGCTCCTGTGGATAAAACAGAGATTGCAATTGCCTTTAGTTTAAGTAAGCGTCTGATACACCAGCTAGAATTTGTTATATCTTCCACTAACAGAAAGTCTACATCTTTGACATAAAATAAAATAAATTAAATAATTAAAACAGAGATTGAATGCATTTAAATAGTTGGGTGATCTCTGGTATAGTTTACTCAAAATTTTATACTATATTTAAGGGTGTTACATATTTACTTATCACTCCATCTAGGGTTGTAAACGAGACGAGTCGAGCTCGAGTATTGCTGAGCTCGACTCGAAAACTCTGAAATAGAGCTCAACTCGACTCAAAAACTCGCGAGCCTAAAATTTTCAAGCTCGACTCGAACTCGAAATCATGAACTGGAGCTCGTAAAAGCTTGAAATTAAAAAAAAAAGTCTTAAACTTAACTCGACCCCTCAAACTCGAACTTGAACCTTAAATACATAAAAACCTTATACTGCATTTTAAAAATCAACACATAAATGTTAATATTATTAATAATTTTTTAAAAAATAAAATTTTAATACATTATATTTTAGAGTTGCTTATGAACTTTTTGAGTCGAGTATCAAGTAGATCGTTTAATCGATGAAAACATTTTTAAATCGTTTCCAATGAGTATAATATCATTGTATGCCAGTAGATTATCTTGTTGTCTCTGTTATCAACACTAAGATTCAATATATAAACTCGTGCAAAATTAAGGAGGTCCTATATCGATTCTCTCTCATTCCCTAGGTATTCATCTTCTTCACAACATCATCTTGTTTTTATTTTCAACAAATCAGTAAATGTAATCATCCACCTAAGTCAGAATGAATAAATCGTCTATAAATGTTGTAACCGTAATTAATCATCAATGAAGTTTAATATCATTTGCACGTATCAAAATCAACCAGCAATATCTTAATTATTATTATATACAACTATATAATAAAATATAAAATAAAATACATGAGTTATCGTATATCCGAAGGGGAAAATATCTATTTCTATTCTTCCCCTACAAATTAAATAAAGTTAAATGAAAAGCAATTGAATCCCAACCACATATTAATATATATATATTTATATTTTAGACAAATAATCAGTGGTGGACATACGTTGATGATAAAGTAGGTATTTGTCTATTCTGAAATTTCTTAAAATTCGAATTATTTTCTTTAAAACTTAAAGTTTTCTTTATTAATATACATGTATCCATCCTAAAATTCTATGTCGTCCACCTTAAATTTTGATCGAATAAAAAATTATATTATTAATATATATGTGATCACTTTTAAAAAAAAAATTAGGTCCTTCCCTGCCAATTACTCGCGTGCATGCGAGAATTATGTGCACCGTTGGTTGCCTACTTGCCGTTACATCACTATTTACTTTATTTATTTGCCTTTTTGTTTTCAAGTGGATTTGTAAATTCAGTGTCTGATATTGTCTTAACACCACATTGATTTATTCCTTTATTTTGCTTTGGATTAATATACTATCTAATACATGAAATTAATTTCAAATTTTAAAATGGTATGCATAATTTTTATTATCTAAATCGATAATTTATACAGTTTCTTATTTAAATTGATATTTGAATTTATTTGTGCCGCACATATAGGTACCAAGCTAGCACTAGAATATATGAAAAAATTCAAATAATTGTTCCAATTGAGACAAAAAAAAGTATAAATTTGAACCATATTCGAAAGTTCAAGTACCAAATAGTATATTACCCCTTTTTTATATTCCTTTTTTAAAAGGTTAAAGGTATAGTTTTAGTAGTTAAACTTAATTTTAAGGTTTTCAATTTGATATTTACTTTTTTCTTTATCCAATTAAGTACCTAAACTTATTTTCATGATTTAAATTGGTACTTGAATTTATTTATTTTAGTTTAAAATAGTTTAAAAAAGTATAAGTACTCATTTGGAAGAAAATACAAAGTTCATGATTCAAGTTGAAGCAAAAAGTTAAGTTCAAGTATCTAATTGAACAAAAAAAAGTTAAGATACCAAATTAAAAATCTTAAAACCAAGTTGGAATAAAAAAAATAGGGACCAAAATGAACCTTAAACCCAAGTTTAAACACCGAAATACATATTTACCCATTTAGAAACTGTCCTTGTAACGCTGGAGATAAAGCAAGAAACTCCAAAACAAGTTTCCAGTATCCGGTCCAGCAAAACCCGAAAATGTCCTCTTCTAAATATCCTCCCCTTATTTACCCCATTATATAACTTAACCCCAAATATAATGCACCCTCACTTCAATCTCGCTGTCTCTCTCTGATCCTCTCCTGTCTTATTCCCATTCATAATCACACGTATTCCCATTCATAATCCCACGTATTCCCATTCATAACCATTCTTCCGATATCCGCCAACTATTTACATAGTACTTTCAGCTTCTGTTTTTTGAGATGGCAAAAAAGGTGGATCGAAGGTATGGGAAACGTCCACTTCCATCCGAAATATCGGAGGATCAAAGCAAATCAGCAGCATCTCCATGGCCTGAACCATCGGACATGACGGCCATGGTCACTGCTCTTACTCGAGTCATGGGATCCGATGAGCACCAGCAGCAGCAGCAGCATAGCTTCCCACAATCATCACCGGCACCCTCATCAACGCCACAATCTGCGGTTCAAGATCAAGGTATATACACATCTATGGCCGAATATACCTATTTAAGTTAGGTAGCAATTAGGGTTTGCCGCCGAACAAGTTTAAAAGATTACGTGTTAAAGACGGCCTCGTGTTCCTTTTGTCTGCCGACTTTCTGATGCTTTAACTTGTTTTGTCCGTATCAGCCTCGATCTATCTCTATATATAGTGAAAGTGAGAGAGATCTAGGCAGAGGTCGTCGAGGGAAGAAAATGGAAACTAAGAAAATCTCCACGCTAGGGTTAGTCAAGTTCAATGTCTCCAACGGCTAAGTCCAAAGCCTACTTTCCGTAAACAACCCTCTTTCTCTTTCCACCAATAAGATAAAAACCAGTGTACTGTACTGCGTTTACACTATATATATTCTTCTTATCTATTTACTACTGGATAAGATCTTGGAGTTTCCATTACGTGGGATGCTATCACTTCTTTTTGTAGTTTCTTCTTTGACCCTGGAAAAGTGACTGCTCATATGAAATCTGGGTTTCGAGATTCTTTGTTTCTTGTGGTGCTAAAACACCTGGAAAATTGTTTGTTGATTATAGGAAGGAAAGTAGTGATATAAATTACATTGAAACAGTCATGATTGCATGTAGCTTTCCTTTTTTTTTTAATACATTTGCAAAAGGTGTGGTGATAAACCATTGATCAGAAGTAGTGCAAATGCTTGTTTTAGATGATTAGAAGGTAGTATTTCTTTAGAATCTTTCTTAATTATTAGTAATTCTATATTCTATAGAACAGCTATTCGAACTGGAGACTATAGGAAGAACAACATTCATCCCATCACTGAAGTTGCTTAACGAATATTTATACGAGACAAATGTTTTTTTTTTGTTTTGTTTATTGGGTTTGGTTAACTTTAGTCCAACATTTCGACAACTCTAGAATTAAGAAAAGGAAACAAAGTTTGGTGACCAAGTTGCGACACAAAACTACTTTCATACACATTAGAGCACTGCCAATTGCCATGCAGAACCCTTGTATTTGTAAATACAAAGATATAAATTCTTTCTTCTTCATGTGCATTGCCTGTTTTTTGTATGTGAAGAAAACAAGAGGAAAAGACATTACAGAGGAGTGAGGCAAAGGCCATGGGGAAAATGGGCAGCTGAAATTCGTGACCCGAAGAAAGCAGCCCGAGTATGGCTTGGCACTTTTGACACAGCTGAAGATGCAGCCCTTGCTTATGATAGAGCTGCTCTCAAGTTCAAAGGCAACAAGGCAAAGCTAAATTTTCCTGAACGAGTCCAAGGGAACCGGGAGGTGAGCCATTTAACTGGTCCCGGAGACTCGAGCTCGGTCCGTTCCGAACAAAATCCTACACCGGTGGTAGTCGAACCTTCATCATGGTCGACTCAGGATTCATACCCTCACTTGTTTCAATATGCTCAGCTGCTTTCAAGTAGTAATGATGCTGATATCTCGTATTACACCTCGAATCTCTTCAACTTCAATCAAGAATCTTTATCTCCTCAATTCTCTTCAATGTCTGCACCATCCACACTACCATCACAGTACTACCAGCCGGACCTTACAAGATTGCCGACCAATTACGATGGCTCTTCGGGTCCTGAATATTATCATCCTCAACAACACGGGAAGGACTTCGATCCCAGAAACAGAAGCGAGTAGACAAATTTAGCTTCTCAAGTTTTTCAAGAGGGAATTTGCTCCAATCGAGGAAAAAGAACTCCCCATTCCGAGTCCATCGCTCCCGCTCCTTGATCGCTATGCTCCTACGTACTAAATTTTCTTTAATTCTTATAACATGCATGATTTCAACTGGTGCCACCCCTTGTATAAGAATTACACATGTACACTGTAATTCAGAGATACGAATAGGGAGTGAGAGTGTGATTCATGTTTCCTATGAGCACCATAAGTTTCAAGTTTTATGATCTGTTTTCTTCTATTTTATTGTTTTCTTAATGCATCAGAAGAATTAATAGAGGAGGAGGGAAACCTATGAAGGTCCTTCCAATGTTTTTCTTCATCTTTTTATGTTAAACTATCTAGAGACTTTCCTTTAATTAATTAAATTAAGATGTAATTAACATCCCGATGAATTATATACTCCAGCAAGTTCATGCAGTTTTTGACTCGTTGACTGCAGGCAATGGCAAATCCATAGTGTGAGGGTGGCCACGTGTTCACTGAAATCTGAATTTTTTTATTAATTATTTATTTTACTAATAATATTTATCTTAAAAATTTTCGGTATCTATTTTAAAATTTAAATTTTTTTATTAATTAATTATTTTACGTACAATACATATCATAAAATTTTATTTATATTCATTCTATTTAAAAAATTTATATTATTAACAAATATATATATCTATCGTCAAAAATATTTATAAATTAACTACCAACTGCAGGAATCATATACCGTAGCTCCTCGGGACTTGATAAAGTTCAAGGCTAGCAAATTAAGCACTCAAAATTCTTACTTATCTATTCGATTGATATTATAATAAAAATTGGACAGACATGCCGTGCCAGCTTTTGATCAAATGTGTACGTTTAACTGGTTAATATATTCTTGATTGAATAAAGGTGTATTTTTTTATTAATTAAAGAAGTGAGAGAACTTAAATCTTCAACTTAGGATTTATTACCTATTCTATATCTTAAGCTACCATCTCCTTTCTGTATACATATATAGCATAGGTGAAAGTGTAGTAACGATGATAAAACATCGAGGGAACAAATATATCTTAATTTATACCAACTTCAGCGTTGGATCGTTTCAAAAATATAAAATACATCATTCATGCAGTTTTACTGTGGGGGGCATGTGTCTGGTATGGAGAGCCGGTATCGATGAATTGATGCGCACCGCTTTCCGATGGAATAGGAATGGGAGGTCTATCAATCAAAATCCAGAAGAAAAGTGGGGGTCACTTCATATACGATTATGTACTCGAATAGATTGATGGCGCCTGCCTTCATGTTGCCTTTCACCTTGATTCTCATTTATTGTGTTCACTTGATCAGAATCAAAACGACGCGTTTTCCACTAACCGCATCACCGTCGTATCAAAAACTACACCGTAAACTACTTTTTTTATTTTTGGATTTTAGTGATGAGAATATTAAGAATGTTTTTGTTTCCAGATTATTATCAATTACTGCTGATAACATATTTTAATTATTATTTTGCATGTAATTAGCAACTTTAAACATTCTCCTCCCTTTTGAACTCTATCTACATGAATGGCGGTGACTTGGATTTTGTCCCGTCTCCTCTTTTAAAGAAGTGGGTAAGTGATTCGAGAGATATCAAACGAATAATAAATATATGCTTTTTTAGTTAAAAGAGTGTAAGGTGGGTCCATATTAATTGTTAAGTAATAAATAAAATTGTAGTCTTTGGAGAATTTTGAGTTCTCTGCATTCTTTGGAACGTGGCTGATGTGTCCACGTAATATAAGGTTAATTTAATAGGTTTTCATACATTATTTGTGTTAACTTATTGGTACCTTATTTATTATCTGGGAAGATTTTCAATACCATAAAAGAAGTTAATGATTATAATTTCAAAATGGAAAAGAAATTTTATGCATGACGGTCCTTTAATCCACTTTTGAATAAAATAATAATGTGTTTTTTGTTTGAAAATGATACGGGTGTTTCAATGATGAAATTGACCATTAAACAAAACGCATGCAAAAGCTCGAGTGGGCCTTGGTCTAATTGTGGAAGAAAACCATATTTGGTGGGACATCATGATCCTTCAAAGCCCAAGAACCCACAAAACGACAATACAAATAATGGGTTTATAGCAGGGATGCCCCCTGTACCTTTTTTATATATAAAAAGGTAAACCTCTACCCTTTACATTGTACTCATGCACTTAATGTCGTCCATCAATATTGCATTGGAGTCTAGCGATATTGAATATTAGTAATTTATTGACGCTTGACATACGTTGATATAACACGATAAAATAATATAACATATGTTATGTCATCTAATATCATAACATGATGTGTATCATATTATTCGAAATAATAATGTCATGTGTCATATCAATAATAAAATACATATAAAATTAATACGTCAGCCATATATGTCGATCATTAGTGAACTAATTATTTTCTTTCGATGTAATGTAAGATATTTTAATTAAAAAAATATTAGGATCTAAAATACTTCAATAGAGAAATAAGAACCAAAATAAAATTTATACAAATAATTATAGATGATTTTATCATTATGTCTAATAGGTAATTAGAGTACAAGGACAAATTAGATATTTAGAAAGTAGAAATACCAGATAGAAAGAACCAATAAAACACAGGGGCATCGATGTCATTCTCCCAATAAGAAATGAAAAGGATAAGCTTCTTCCTTTTTGAAAGCCCATTAATTAATAAACAGAAAGAGAGTAATTAAAAAAAAAAAGGGGGGGAGAAAGCCGCGTGAAAAATGACGTGACGTGCGGCTCCTCTTCCCTAGGCAGCGATAAAGTCTCGTTTCAATCAGGGGATAGGGGACCAAATGCAATGCATCTTCACTATCCTGACGTGCGGTATCCTACTTTCGGCTTCAGCACGTCAATTCTTGCGGCTCATCATCATCTCATCCCTTGTCTTCCCTATTTTTCTCCCATTTTACTTTGAGATCTTATTACTTTCGAAACAATGTTAATAGTTTAAACAATTAATTATAATTGATTTTATAGTCTCAAAATTTTCTGAGTAAATTACACGTTCAATTTTAAAATTATCGGTTTTGATCTATTTAATTTTAGTATTTAAACTTTTAATTTTTTTAAAATTATACTTAAAATTTAATTTTTATTTCATTTTAGTATTCACCGTTAAAATTTAGTTTCTGTTTCATATTTGTATCTCGTTCAAAATTTAACTTTAAGCTTTGAAAAGATTAAAACTTTAGGTAGCGTTAAGTTTTTAACGACGGATACTAAAATTAAATAAAAACTAAACATTAGGTACGGATTTGAAATAATTGAAAGTTTATGTATTAAAATAGATCAAAACTTAGAGTTTATGTACTAAAATAAGTCAAAACTTACCATCTATGTATTAAATGTGTAATTTACCTTTTTTACAATGTTTATAAATAAATCGTTGGACTAGATTATAAGAATTTATATTATTTTTGTTGGGATTGAATTGATGAAAATGATTGGGTTGGGATTTGGGATCGAATAAAACGGGACACATAGAGCATATAATTTTCTGGGCTCATCGTGCGGTAGAGAAAAAAAGGAGTCGGGAAAGGAAAATCATACCATGATGATTGCAGACGATATGCGTGAGAGAACACAAAAGAGAAAGCGAAAACCAAATTGACATGAAAATGGTTAAATATTCGGTGGTGATGATTGAAGCGTGTATTAACACTATAAAACAAATGGGTGAATGGACTCATTTTGTCTTGTGTCAATTTTTGGTAATTAAAGCATACAAGCATGATATGCTACAATAGCATTATAATTAGACAAAACACATGACGTGATACGAGTAAATGAAATATTCTCTTATAAAACAATAATTATAAAAATAATTTGTCAAAAGAGTTCTTAAGAGATTTTTTTTATATAAATTATAAAAATTATTTTAATATAATTATAAAATTAACATTTTTATATAATTTTAAATGACATAATAATAAACAATTTCTTTGGAGGTGTAGGCTGTTTTTTGACGCTTTGTTACCAAGTTTTTTCGTAGCTTCCAATCGCAACTTAAACATGGGAAAAAATATATAGTTGTTTATTTATCACGTAAATTTTTATTTATTTTAAAAATATATAATCCCACATAGATCGGATTAACTTTTTCTTCTTTGATTTTGTTTAGGTGGTGACGACACTGGTTTTAATATTGGTTATCGACTGTCGGTTGTTTTTTTTATGTTTATTTTTTAATTTTTTAATAAGAATAATCATGTCTTTGTGGCACATTTATCTCTGTCTTTTGGTAGTTTTCGATTTTTTTTGTCGTTGTTTTCGTTATCTTTTTTTCTCATGGTTGGATTTGACATTGCCACATCTTATCAAAATGACGCGTATTTATTATCATATTGATTTTTCTGCTTTGGACCCTTGGATTAATTTGGATACGTGTATTGCGTTCGTGAATAATTTTCTCACGTCGCTTTACTCTAATTTACGATTTTTCGGTGGTCTTTCAGTAGCTTCATTTTCTTGTAGTTCGTTTGTCGATGCAGCCAAATTTATTCGTATCTTTATTTTATTCAAAAAAAAATTTGTTAGATTTTTTAACATTTTCCTTCTTTGGTCATTATGATCTAGATGGTTAATTTTGGTCTAAATGGTAATAAGAAAATGTCATAGTTATATTTTAGGTTTAAAACTATGCTTGTAAATCTTAATTGTAATTTTGGATATTTTATATTTTTTAATAAAACAAACCACTTTCTATAATATATATATATAATCCCACGAGTAATAAAAATAAATTAGTCAATTTAGTTTTTTGTAATAAAATATCATTTTATTTTTTCATTGATATTAGTTAAAGATTCGATTTTGAATAATTTTTTCTCATATAAAATAAATAAAAATAAAATACTTAGAAATATTTTCTAGAGAGTAGAATAATAGTTTCATTAAAATCTAGCATAAACCCAAAAAGAGGGTTTGGAAGATAATGGACCTGTGAATGGGCAACGTTTTGCAGGCCGAAACTGATGCAGGGATATTTTTTGTCCCAATAGGGTAAACGGTTAAATTATTTGGGAAAATAGAATAAGTAAACGTTTATTTTGGGATCTAAGACATTTTATATAATGTTCGACGTGATGAGTTTTAATAAAAAAATATTTTTATTAAAATTTGCTACCTCGATATGACGAATTTTAAATCACTATAGTAAATACTGTAAATCTCTAAATTGACTTCTATATACTCTATTGGGCAATTAATTAAACTGTCCGCGAAAAAACAAACCCCTTGAGGCGCAACTAAGGGTTTGAACAAGCTCTGTTCAATCAACCAGGCCATATAAATTGAGCTTTTGCAATTCCTAAAGTTTCTGCCCCATGCATCGAATTTACTATTTTCCCTCACATTTTCTATCTGAAATGAGATGATTTTATTGACATTTTTAGCTAAAAAGTAATAACAAGGAACCTGCATCAGACCCTGATTAATTTTCATTCATTAATACGTAAGAAGAATAACCATCAACAGTAAAAAAATGTGTATTTTTATACACAAATTTACATATATGCCTGATTTTATAAGATTCAAACTATTCAAAAATGGTGCAAGGGGATGACAATCAACATGTAGTAGGTGATAGGAAAACGCTAATAATTAGATTATTATTTATGAAATTTATCCAAAATAAATAAATATGCAATAGAAGAAAAGAAAGGAAGGAGACGAGAGTTGGTAGAGGGAAAGAAATGAGAACAAAGAAACAAAGAGTTAATTTCATTGGAGGTCTTTAAATTATGATCTCTATTTAAAATTGGTCTCTAAATTTCGAAACTTTTCATTTTAAAGGTTGCATTTAAGGACCAAATTAGAATGATGTTATAATTTGAGGTCCTTATTTACAATTATCTCAAACAGATACGTTATGAAAACTGTACATGCGCATATTTCATTGGTTTGTTAGTTGTTACGACTTGAAACGACGGTCAATTTGATTATGTATTTGCACAAAAACTGGAAGAAGTAATATAGAAATCTAGCTTAGTATAAAAATAATTGTCTAAAGAATATCTTGAAAAATATTTTAATGATTAAATAATTTTTCGTTAAAAATAAATGTCTAAAGTTTTCTATATTATATTTTTATGTGTCTATTGTTAAAAAAATCATTAAGTGACACATACCACGTATATATACTTTTAAAAATATATTTTTTTAAAAATTGAATTTGACACGTGTCACTAAACGAATTTTTTTAACCAAAAATTACTAAAAATTTAACAAATAAAACTTTAATTATATATTTTTAACGAAAAAATCTTTAAGAATCAAAAGTTAATTTAAATTATAGTTTAGATATTTATTTTTACATTAAGCCTATAAATCTTACCTACCTGCCACGCGTCATCTTCATAATAATAGAAACGCCGAGAACAAAAGCAAACAAAGATGGCATCCGCTGACCAAAATTCGAAGAAGCCCATGCCCAGTATCATCGTCTTCCTCATTATCACTTCGTTTGACTTGTGCAAGTCCAAACCCGAACAAGACGACCTGACCCCCCCCCCCCGACTCCATGGCCGCCCCAATTCCACTCCATTCTGGTCATGAACAACAGTGTTATTCACGAAGTGATCGACCTCTGGTACGATTGGCCCAACGGAAGAAACTTCAACATCATCCAGCACCAGCTGGGGAATGTCTTCCACGACCTCGAGTGGAACAACGGGGCTTCCTTCTTTTACACCCTCGATTCCTCCAAAACCTGCAGCAGCGTTCAGCTCGAGGTCGGGATTTTACGCCCCGACTGGCTCGACGGAGCTACGTACTTGGGTCAGCGAGAGGCGGACGGGTTCGTTTGCAATGTGTGGGAGAAAGCGGATTTCATCACTTATTTTGAGGATGTGGTCACTAAGAGACCCGTTCTCTGGATCTTCTACACCCGTGAGTCTAACTGATTTCGATTCAGTTCAGTTTTAATCTGATGAATGAAGGTGAAAATTGAAAGTGTAGGGAGGGAGGCGCATGTGATAACATTTGAGGCGGGAGCAGTTCTTGATGATTCCAAGTGGCAAGCCCCCATATACTGCTTTCACAACACCACCAAAACCACCACCCACAGATTGCTGGGTGGAGCTCTCAAAGGTTCTGCTATTCTATGAAATTTCCTGCTTACATATTTATTTAAATTTGAACTATTGTTATACTTTTATTGTTACCCAGTTCCCCTAGGCTTCCCCCTAATTGTTTCCTTCGAAATATTGCATCATCTTCAATTCATATTTGCTTGCAGTTTTAGATGGAGATTCTTCCTTGTACAGCTCTGTGAATAATACAATAAAAAATAATAGGGTAAATTACGTGTTTAATACCTAAACTATTAGTTTTGGTTCATTTTAATACTAAACTTTCCAGTTTTTAAAATCATACTTAAAGTTTAATTTTTGTTTCATTTTAGTACCTATGTTCAAAATTTAACGTTAAGTTTAAAAAAAATTAAACGTTTAGGCACTAAAACGAACCAAAATTGATAATTTAGATACTAAACGCATTAAGTTTTTAACAGTGAGTACTAAAATGAAATAAAAACTAAACGTTAAGTATAATTTTAAAAAAATTAAAAGTTTAGATAGTAAAACGGACCAAAACTGACAATTCCTAAATAATATTTGAAAGACACGTGATAAAAAATCTTCCAAAAAAAAGTTTTTTGAATACTCTATGATGATTAAAAGATAATATATATTTATAATCTTTTTAGTTGTTATCGACAGTACACACACTTTATAGATTCAATTGTTTAAAGCCATAACCTTTAGGAATAACAACTCATGTAATTACTTACATTGCTTGACGAGTTAAAAAAATAACAAATATGAGAAGCTCGTATAGAAATGCTAATGTGTAATGAGGATAGAAAATTGTATGCCACGTTGTCATGATTGTATGATGAAAAAGAAAAATCTTTGAATTCTAAGTTAATTGAAAAATTAAGTGTTTTTTGGGTAAAAAAACTAAGTGTTTAAATTATATATTTTAAAATTTAAAATTAAACTATGTGTTATACATTCATAGGTTAATTTTTTTTAATGGATGTTAACAATTTAATCATATTTAATAATAGAATAAAACTTTGAATACCTATTTTAGAAAAGAAATTAAACACTCAAAAACAACGAAGTAATAAACCTTGATTTCTTAGGTTTATTGGTCATCTTTCATAATTCGGAGGTCTCCTACGGAAGCTGCTCTCAACCTGGCCTTGGGGGCAGATTATTATCCTACCTTCCTTTTACCCCATTACATATGGTAATAAGGGGTCAGCTAATTTTTTTTTTAGGAAAATAAATCCAATATGAAAAATGTAAAGGTGGGAAATGCAAAGGTCGGTCCATATTTCAAGGCCTCATAAAATTGTATTGTAAGGGTGCCCAATATTGATTTGAAAGCTCAAACCGAGTGAAAAAAATGAGGCCCAATATGCAGATTATTTGTTTTTTTATTGAATAGTATGAAGTGGTTACGAGATAATATATGTGTGAAAAAATTTGTTTTATTTTATTACACTTTGACGGAAAAAAAAGTCATTGAAACTATTTTTGTTTCTCTATAACTACATATATTTAATTTATTGATCAATTAATTTGAATTTGATATTCCAGAGGTTCGTGGAAGCAACCCTCACAAGGTTTGTTCTATTCACAATGCTAAGATTCAAACCTCCAATTCAGTTTGTTCCATTTATAATGCTGAGATTCAAAGATCCGATCTTGCTCAAGAGATCTAACGCCTTGTACTACAAGATCAATGGGTAATTGGTAACGTTGTTACTTCTTTCTTTCTTCGTTTGCATTTGAAGTGGGAAATGTTCAATGTGTATGCTTAAACTTATAAATTTGCTTTATTTGAAGAGAAACTTGCATAATTTTGGCTAAACTAATGGCATGAAATACCCAATGGTAGTGGCATGCATCAATCTCCTAGTGTATGAGATTTATGTGAAGTTATATTATTTGCTTGCGAACATAATTATCGTGGAAACAACTCAGTGATGTGTAATAATCAATGTTAGCTATCATTTACTGCATATTCTAAGCATGCCGATTGTGCAAAAAGTATGAGGATTTGTTCTGGGATTATGTTAATCTCAAACGCCATGTTGTTTGTGGTTCTTGAACCAACAGATTAAGGTTGATTATTGAAATTCCAGGGAATGCAAGTTACTATGCATTTAAGATGAGTTACCAATACTAATCTCCATCTCTGTAAGCCATTATTCTTGCAGATATGACATCCAACCACCTTGATTAGATATGTAAATGCTCTCTCTTTATAACATAGGACCCATCATCATTAACATATCTGACACAACACCAGTTATCTATTAATGAACACATGAATTGAGAGGCCATGGTAGGGCCACTTGAATTATTAATGAACACAGGGAGCATGAGCCATCAGCCTCGGCTGGTAGCAGTTGAAGAACGCAGAAACCTCTGAAAACCCCGTGTAACCGACCCGAAAATGACCTTAGGGAGAGCTAAGATAAGATAACATAAGACGAGCTGATGCCGCCACCGTGCCGGTGTGGTATTTGTTGTGTAGATGATGAAGAATTGTAGTACATTGTGATAGTGTAACATAATGGGCATAAGGAATGCATAAACATACAAGAAAAAGTAATTGACGTGAATCTGAAACTTGTGGAACTCGGTTTAGAGCATTTGCTCCATTTGCAAACCCGAAAAAAGAACATAAATTTTATATCCTTATTTAGCTATCCTCAGCAGGGATGTTTTGTTTGTTTTCGCTGACCTCGAAGTTCTGCTCTGTCCTGTACTTGTACCTATGTGCTGAATACAGGAAAATGCAGAAATTGATTATAGAAAGAACTGTAAGCAGCCAGTAAAAGTAATCAAATTTCGCTTGGTTTATATTCTGAGATAGCCAAGATTGCTGCTTATTCTCCGGATTCCTTGTAGCTGATTTGACGATACTGTTGATTATACTGGCAACGAAACAACCCAAGCCGCCGGATAGAGCAGCATACGCGGAGCCTATACTCTTCATTGCATCCGGAGCTTCCTCGTAGAGGAATTCCAGTAGGCCGACAATCGAAAACACTTCGGCTATACCGATAAGGCAGTATTGGATCAACAACCAGTATGCACTTAGATCAGGCATGGGAGTTAGGAAATTAAATTCGTAGCCATGTGTTACAGCGTAGCCTCTTCGAAACCTTTCGAAAACCCCGGCCCAGGCCACGGATAAGATGGAAATAAACAGACCAATGCCTACTCTTTGGAGCTGAGAAGCACCGTGTGGATGACCGGTGATGCGTCGTGATATAGGAACGAATACAGAGTAGTAGAGACATAGTATGAGAAATATGCTGAGGCCTGGAAACACAGGCATGCATGTTATTGGGAGTTTCAGTTTACCCATGTGAGTATTCAACGTATATGCCTGTTGTATTGAGAGTGTCAAAAATTCTGTTAAGATAGCATTAAGCATTATCGTGCAAGCCGGTATCGGAATAAGTTTCATGAGTATCTTGACTTCCTCTACTTGAGTCACTGTGCAAAGCCTCCAGGGACTCGGGTTGCCACCTTCTTCTTTCAGCTTGAGAGCCGCCTTGTCCAAGCATCTGCAACACGAAAAAGCAGTGAAATCTTGTGAAACAAATCAATTTGATCTGCCATTGATAAATGGAATAAGAGCAGCCTATACCTGAAATCATCTGTATGAGGTATTTTTCCACTTCCCTTTATAGCAGATTGTCTTCCAGGGAGTTCATATAGGCCGACTAACTCGCTCCTCGTAAAAGGGACATGTCGTTTCTTGAAGGCAGCGACCAGCACCTGTGCGACTCGGGTTAGGGGACTGCCTCCGGGCAACCTATGCCTGTATAAAGGAGTACCTGCAAAGAATATCATGTTGGACATTCCCATAGCTATAGCTAATGAACCGAAGGCGGCTCCCCATCCATGCTCCATCCTAATGTATACTACCAGAGTGAATGCTACAATTGCCCCAATAGTAACACATAGGTAAAAGAAGTTGAAAAATCTATCCAGGAGGGACTTATAATCTCTACTTCTTTCATCAAACTGATCAGCCCCGAAAGAAGAAACACAGGGCCTTATACCCGCGGCTCCGAAAGCAGTTATATAAAGGACTGTATAAATATAAACCATCTGCCATGGTTTTGCAGGCTCACAACTACCCAAAAGCAGGGACAGTTGATCGCATTGGTCTTGATTCGGCATGAATATCTTCATTGATGCACATAAAGTTATCCCTATCAAACACTGTAGGAAACAAGGATGACAAGTGATGAAAGTCGAAAGTCGAGCACTTAACAATGGATTCTATAGGTAAGGGATATGATGTCTCACCGCAAGATAGACTGTGGTGAATATCGCTATCGTCCAATATCGACCAAGATAAGCATCGGCAAGAAAACCACCAAGGACAGAGGACGCTTGAGATATCCTCAGGAAGTTGTTAACTACATTTGAAGAACTTGAAAAGGGTCTATGCATAACATAGAACATAAAGGCCACCATGTTCACCGATAGGCCGAAATAAGCCATCCGCTCGGCCATCTCGTTCCCTGAATTGATGGATAAAGAGTAAAACATACTTTAATTTTCACAAAATCACACACGTGCAGCATACAATAGTAACCTAAAGCAGAAGAAACTATTGGACGTACCAAAAATAAAGAAGGCAGCAATCCATCCACCAGTCTTTGAAAGATCTGCTATAGGCTTCCCATGGATATTAACAGGCGTTGTTCCCCCGATATAACCACGCCCGAAAGCTGTTCGCCGATTTTCAGACTCGATAAAAAAACACTTCCAGTTTCTTCCTGGAATTTCCATCCAAATCCAAACTAGCTGGTGTCTGAAGCAGATCTTCAGGCGACTTGATTTCTCTGCTGGTGCTACCCATATCCCTTTATCTCCCAGAAAATAAATTTATAAGCCTTCCCGAGGATCAAATCTGACTGCTAGAAAACCGAGCATTCCAATTAATGTCGAAAAAACATGTTAAATGCATGGTCTATATAAGTTCTACCACCGATCACTTCAATTGAATGACTGAAAAACAGAAACAAGAGCAGGTTTACTTTACATACCTCAATGCCAAGGAACTTGCAGCTCAGAGTTCAAAGAGTAACCTACTTGACCAACTTTAATCTCAGAGAAGAGAATTCAAGTAGATGGAGGGGACAGTTAGTAATCACAATCAATTTTCAAATATTTTTTTTAAATGATAAGAAAAAACAGTGTCTCATACACCATAATAAAGGGAGATCCAACAGTCCATGAGGACCTATCAGAAAAAATAGCCAATAGTGTAATAAATGGAATGAGAGAAAGTAGAAAGGCAATGTATAGACAAATAATAGTGTTAGCTGGAAGGTGGCATTAATTGCGGCTGCTACAAGCGTAAGATTTGTGTAGTTAACGTCACTAACTCGGCGTTTTGAACTGTACCGAGACGAAAATGGTGGCATTTATAGCTTCGAATTCAAAGGGCTAAAGACTACATATCTCTACTCTTTGCTACTGGTTTTGCACCAACGGCCATACAAAATTGGCGGCTTTTAAGTTTGATTGAAATGGAACTGTGAAAATATAGGTGCAAGGCAAAGCAAATGTCTACCATTTTAGGAGGCTTTTATGTTCAAAGACATGATGCTTTTCAGGGTTATTGTCATTGTCTTATGAACATATTTTTTTGCCCCGCATACGGCGGTGGTGGATCCAGAAATATTTTTAGAGATATATTAAATTTGAAAATTTTTATATTGGGTGGATACGTATAAAATTTCAGGGTAGACACCAATAATAAAATGAATAACTAATATAAAGAAATTCAGATTTCAAAGTGTACATGTGCCCACCATCAATCTGCTTTGCGGCTGCCACTGCCCCCATATAAATGCCGACATGTATGTACAAGCTTTCTATTCTCTTTTCTTCGACCTTTAAATTCACCATTGTCTACTAGAATTTCAGTGTTTGATTCTTAAAACTTCTTATTAGAAATTTTCAAGTGAAAAATAATCGGAACAAAATCGATGCAGAATAAAAATATACAAGATATGAAATTTAATACACCGAATTTAACATTAAAAATTAAGATAAAAATTAATTCTATCGTTTTTTATAAATAAATAAAATAATTATGACAGTATAATTTAAGGTAATTACAAGTGTTTCTCTCCAGAATTGGAATAATGGAATTTAAATATAAAACATGTAATTAATGTTAATAACTTGCCTTTTATATTTAATTTTGAATTTAGAGATTAATCTCATAGAAATTGATATGGACAGCCTACGCCATTAACGCATGCACTTAGTTTTAAAAAAAATCATTATATGAAGTAAAAATCATAATATGGATAGCCTACGCCATTGACGTATGCATTTTAAATGACGAATTCTATTAAAAATATAATTAAAGATAGTTTCAAAAAATTTAATTAAAGACAACTTACACCATTGTTTTTTTGTTACAAGAAGAGCCACTAAGAAAACTAGTGGATTAAACGATAGATATGCTTGTAAGGTCGGCCTGGAATAGCTCCAGAACCTCCTGAGGAGGATTTTGAAAGACCAATACTCTCTGATTGTCATCATCTCCAATATGAGCTATGGTATCCGCAAGCTGATTCGCCCCGCGATTGATATGCGCAAAACGGACCCTCCATTGCTGGTTAACACAACTACGGATCCTACGGATAACGCCATCGTCCGTGACTTGTTCCGGAGAGTTGAGGCACTTCACAACTTCACTATTATCGATCTCTACGGCCACATCGCGATAATCTTTGTTCCAATCTATATATAGACCATAAAAAATCACCCAAAGCTCCGCTTGAAATATGGGATATCGACCAATCTTTCTATGGTAGCCAGCTAGCCCCATTAGTGTTATCTTCCCTTACCTGCCTATCCATGCTCATCGCTGTCGTGATTGAGCTCGAAAGAAGCTTGCATAAATCTTTGCAAATATCATTTCTTCTCGTAAAAGTTCCGGCTAGTCGAAAAAATGACATGTTGCAATGTTTCATTGTATCTAAGTACAAAGATGGTCGCCCAACTACAGAGGCTGAAGTAACCGGCTTGCTTATTGCTGCGCTCTTTGCTGGTTAGCATACCAGTTCCCTCAGCTTAAACAGGTGCCTATCTCCTTCGTCATAAGGAGTTCCTATCAGCTGTGGTGGACGAGCAGAAACAACAAATGCAAAAGCATGGAACCAAGGTTGATCATGATGTTTTATCCGAGATGGACAACTTGTATCGGTGCATTAAAGAAGCCCCGAGACTTCACCCTCCACTTATCATGCTTCTACGTAGCTCCAACACCGATTTTAGTGTAAAAACCCGAGATGGGAAAGAATACGACATCCCGAAGGGTCATATTGTGGCGACATCACCAGCATTTGCAAACAGGCTTCCTTACATCTTCAAGGATCCAGACACACATGACCCTGACAGA